CCCTCTCTGCAGTGGCCTCCCTGCTTGGCAGATGTGCAGCTCCTGGGAAAGAGGCCGGGCTGGTGCAGGGCGTGAATTGTGACTTGGTCGGGTTTGGCGTTGGGGGTGTGCGAGGGAGGGATGTTCTCTCAGGCAGGGTCCTGACTTGATAGGCCCAGAGCCAGCTTAAACAAGGGAGTGTTTCCAAAAAAAGGTCATTGACATGCAGAAAAATCCTTCACTATCCGCAGGGGGGAGTCTTTAAAAAAGTGCCTGAAAAACTAATCCATAGCAAGGGGGGAGCCTTGCTTTCCTCCTCGCAGGTCTGCCAGAGCGAATGGGGATGTTAAGGGAGGACTAATTAAACAAGGTTGGATTTCAGTGCAGATCAATAGTGAGTGTTTGTGATGACTTGGTTGGTCCTTTTAGCTGTGTGTTGTAACATTTACAATATTTTAGCTTGTTATTTTAGGTAAACACTAGTTTAGTGTTATTTTAGGTAAACACTCATCTGGAAAAGAGATGAGAGTCAAAACAGTTAATCATAACATCTTGCTTCCCATCGCCATGGTATCTGAGCGCCTTGCAATCTTTAATGCATTGATCCTTGCAGGTAGGGAAGTGGTATTATTTCTATTTTATAAATGGGAGTGGTAAGTGACTGAGATACTCAGAGGCACACAGGAAGTGTATAGGAGAGCAGGCAAATGAATTCTGGTTTCCTCATTCCAAGATGTAATCACTGGACTCCTTCCCCTTTCTTCCTTTTTCTCTTTGCTTTTTCAAAGTGTCATAGGAGTGAATGCAGGAAATTTTGCCCGGATTAATTGTGGTGCACATAGGAGTTTGATACACACACTGTAGTTTTCTGATTTAATTGAACCATTAGAAACATAAGTTTTCATGGAACTCTGCCTGCTATTACATTATTACTGTATGTGTCAAGTGGCATGCTTTGCAGTGGAAGTACAGTGAATACTGCACTAATTCTCAGCGCTATCAATTATGGATAGTTCCCAATACAGTGATTAAAATCCTCAGACTTATCCTTGCTGTTCACTGAGTCTTCTTCCTCCTTTTAAAAAGATTGGGCTTACTAGCTCCATATGTGTTGAAATTTAGCTGCCAAAGTTGAGAAGACCATGACTTTCAATGCATGGTTAGTCATGCTGTGATAATCTCTGTCCATGGTAGGTTTTGCCTATATGGTTGTGAAGCCAGAGCCGTGTGACATTACTATCTGTTGCTGTAGTGGTTTACCCTGAGAATAGTAACTAAGAAATTTCCCCAGTGTCTTGTTAAACTCATAAGGGATTCTCCTTAGGGATTCAGGTTGCATATACAATCTTTTTATATGTGAAGTCCAGAATAGGCTCTTTAAGAGAATTGTCTGTGTGTGTGTATTGTTATTCGTTTTGCTAACCCTTCCTAATTATGCCTCCGTTGCAATGGAGTGGTTTACAATTCTTGCTGTTTTTTCTTTGTGCAGTTAATAGAGCAGAGGACACTTGTAGTGCTCAGGACATAAATAAAATATTCAGCACTACATTGAAACAAAACTGGTTGTTGTCCTTGATGTTTCCTAGTCACTTTCACTCTCTAGTTTACTTTCCTAGCTTCCTCTGTAGCATGTTGTTCTTGGGTTCACAGTTAGGATATATATCTTTGTATAAATATTAATTAATTTTAATTACAACCTGATAGGCTGTAAAGTCAAGCAGTGTCTGGTGGAGTGAGGTCATGATCCTACAATCTAAATTTTGGGTCTACTCCAGTGTTCCCACTAAGATGTGTGCCTGTGCAGCCATGCACAAGAAATGTTAGGCCCGCCTATGTTGTCCACAGAACCATGAAGCAGCACTTACCACTCTCTTTCCTGCTGTACCAAAAGGTGAGTGATGGCAGTGGCAGTCTCATGTGGCTGCATGACAGTGGGCGGCTGCTCTGCTCCTGTTTGATTTGGCTGGAGCTGGAGTGCAGTGAGGCTGTCCCTGCGGGGGCAGCCTCACCAGCCCTGTTTCTAGCTGTGGCGTGAGGGACACTGCAGCCTGGCTGGCAGGGCTGCATGACTGGAGGCCACGGTTGTTCGGGTGGCCCCATTCGGAGCCAGAGCTACATGACTGGAGGCAGTGGCTTCTTGAGTGGCTCTGGCCAGGGTCAGAGCCAGAGCTGTGTGTCAAGTGGTGGCTGCTTGGGCATCCCCAGCTGGGGCCGGAGCCAGAGCCATATGTTGGGCAGCTGCTATGAAGGCTTGGTCTTGATCTCGGTCTTGTTTTGGTCACTGGTGAGCCGATTAAGGAATCCATGGTACAACATGGTGAACAATTCATTACTGAAACAAGAAAAAAATAATTTGCTGTCCTGTATCTGAGCATTTAGGGTACACCTGCTTCATATCTTATAGCTTTCCTCTGCAAATGTGAGGTCTACAAATACAATTTTTTAAAAAAAGGTGAAGCAGATATTGTTATTCAAACTCTTCTGGTAAAGAACAGTTTTGAATTAGTATGGTGAGACCCAGGCTGTATTGTCCATTTTCCCTACTCCAATCTTGCCACCTTTTGTTGTTTTCATTATAAGACTTGCATTACTTTAAAAGAGCAACTGCTGCTGTTCTCAAGGTTGGCAGAACTTGACCTGTAAGAAATGAATTGTTAATAGTAGTTTGCAATGACTAGAGAGATGGTGCCTGCTGAAGTTGGAGCCAGGACTGAGGTGTAGCTGCTCTGGGGCTGGGGCCACTCATGGTGCATGGTAAACTTAGAGAACAGTTACTTTTAAAGTAACGCCAGTCTTATAATGAAAATCACAAAAGGTGGCAAGACTGGAGTAGGGAAAATGGACAACACAGCCTGGGTCTCACCATACTGATTCAAAACTGTTCTTTACCAGGGCTGGTTGACAATTTCTGAAGGAAAACTGGGCCTTTGACAAAACAAAGCTTTTCTATCAAGGTTTTCTTCCTTAAAACAAACAAACCTTTTTTTACAAATAAGATTTTCCCCCACTGAAATTTTCAGCATTTTTTGATGAGCTATACTTGTTATCCATGAACAAATTAGATAAAAATCTTTTGTATGTTACTCCCTGTAGGAGTGAGTTTTAGGCAGCATGGAATGTGATACAGTACCTATTGATGATGAAGGAACATCCAAGAGGAAAGTAAGCAGCACAACATTACAGCAAAGATGTAGGAAACCGTGATCAGAATCCCTCATATTATAATAAGTTTACCGTACACCATGAGCAGCTGCACCACAGCCCTGGCTCCAACTCAGCAGCCACCATCTCTCTAGTCATTGCAAATGACTATTAACAGGTCATTTCTGGCAGGTCAAGTTCTGTCAACCTTGAGAACAGCAGTAGTTGCTCTTTGCCAAGGAACCATTCCTGTCACCATTTATTACCTGTGTTGTATAGGAGGGCAGCACAGGTCTTTAAGAAAAAACAGCTAATTGTTCAGACTTTGCATGTATGTGTAGGGGGTGATGTCTCTTTACCTTTGGTGAAACTGATGGCATGATACAGTACATTGACAGTTAGGGTCAGCCATAATAATAAGGATGGTTGGGTGACAGTTCTGATTTAACAGCTCTTTTTATTCTTTCTGATTGGGAAAGGGTTGTTTCAGATTCTTTCTTCCATAAAATTTGTGTCTGGCCCTGGGGGAGGGTGATTGGGTTAGAGGGGGTGTGTGTGTGTGTGTGTGTGTGTGTGTGTGTGT